TTCTAACTGAGAGAGTGGTAAATCGAGTAAATCAATCGTCAGCGACGGTGGGATTGCTCATACGTACTTAGAGATACTGAATTAATTGACAAAGCACGACGCGTGAAAGTAAATTAATTGCAGTTTTCTACTTTCGAATTTTTCTAAAGCCGCCGATCGCTACACCAGCGGTGAGGTGGTTGGCAAAAGCATTTACCCACGCTCACCGTAGAAAATTTCTTCAGCTCAGCCGCACGTGGACGTTGCACATGATGTTGCGCGAAACGCGTCCATGTACAAAAATCAGAAGACAGTTCGAAGATCGATTCTCTTACGCGGGTCATAGATCCCCGCCGGTCGAGCTGCCCCGCGATCTAGCAGCGCGGGATTTATTTTCGGCTAATCGAGGCCAGCAGAGAAATTGATTGTCTGAGACTTGCCGCGGTTGGCAAGCTAATATCGCCGATACAAAATTCAAAGCGTTCACGACGACCTGACGAGCTAACGACGCTCGCGTATATATCGCGCATTACATGCCCGCGAGATTTATCGATCAGACGCGGCAAGAGGTACGAGGCTCTAAATTTATACGTGTATCAGCGGGTGCATGTACGAATTTTGCCGAGATCGGGAAGGTGCTATCAATAGCCGATAATCTGTCTCGTACTATTAAGTCGTTCGGGATTCATACTTGCCCGCGTGTTACACCCGTGACGTTTATTTCAGTCTCGCGGCATGAGTTCCCTCTGATCGATCACGGCTCCTAACTTATGTTTCGATGCGCCGTGTAACTACAGCCTAACAGATACTTAACACGTTCGGTGCGGCGCCGATTTTTGGTTACTTAGGACGCTGTTGCGATTAATTAAGTTTTGTTCACAATAGTGCAAAAACTACAGATCAAGAAAAGTGTCTGGAGCTATAAATTTTACTGTTTTAACAAACAATTTTTTTTTTTGGCGATGTCAAAATTCAAGATAAAACATTTTGTTCGAAATATTTTTAGCATTATTGTTACGTATTGAATAATAATAATTTATAAATATCATATAATACTATACAATAATGCTGAATACTAATAATTTTTGCTTTAACGTTGTTTCGATAACAAATTTCACAGCGTCTTCCTACCGAATTGAGTCGATCTTAGCAGATAGTGACAGAAGAAAAATGATCGTCACGCATCACGATAGGATAAACGCGGCAGACATGTTATTAAAATGTCAATGCATGACTTTATAACAGATTTTTAAAAAGTTCCTCGTTTTGGAAAACGAAATTGAAAATTCACGTATTAGAACCCCTAAGGGTTCGCGAATCCTTTTATTCATGTATTTTGCAAATATCATTCGATGAACGCAGCATTACAAGTTCGCAAAAATTATAAAAATGTTCTAAAAAATCACAAGTTGGTGATTTTGAACACTTTGATAATTCTAGTGATGGGTTTCTGCGATTCCAAGAAATTATTGACTCGAATGACAAGGTTGCAAACGCACCTTGTCTAATCTCTCTCTCTCTCTCTCTCTCTCTCTCTCTCTCTCTCTTTTTCTTTCCCTCGGTTTTGCTTGAAAAAGTCAGTGACTCTGTTCTACCCCGGTGCCGAGGTTAAGCAAATATCAGTTGAGTTACAACCGATCCAATTAAATCTCGAAACGATCGTGTACACAATTAAATTTAATTATCTCCGCTTACTGTTTCGCTAAACGGGATCGTTAGTCTCGCACGACGCGGAGGGGTGGACACGTTCCAGCGACTCGCCCAACGAAAATAACAAACGATAAAGATCGTGGCCGTGGCATCTCCAACCGGTCGATTCGCGTGCAGCGATTTAGACTAATCAGCAATTACGCAGACAGTTACAAAGCCTTGCCAGTTACCGTGCAAATGTAAACCGCCACTAAACGGACTGGAAGCTGGAACGGAGGGAAGGAACAAAAAGATGAAAATCGTTTGCTTCTCTTTGGTCTTGATCGACAGAAGCTACATTACGAACCATTTACAATACTAAACGTACCGATGCATGGTTCGTTTAACTCTTGTATAAAAAAATATACAATTTCTCTTCTTATCTTCTGCGCATTGTTTCTTAAATTAGCTGCATTTATTTCGTCATTTGACCGGTTAAAATAGAAACAGGTATATGTAAAATACCGGTACGAATTAATAGAGTTTTTGGTTTGGTGTTTCTCGACGAATTTAGCAAACTTTGAACATGCTTATTCTTTCCTACGTTAAATTGACAGTTAGTATTATTTTATTTACCGGTCATTTACCGATACAAAAGTGTAAAGTACGTTTAGCGTTAGGCGACGATTCTATTAATTCATTCATAACACTTGGAAAAATGAGTAAGTTCAAGTTTGCTCGCGAGTATTTGAAGAAAGATCGCCTCGATATTTTCAGAAGCTGCTCGCGCGAAGAGCAGTACGTACGTGCTCGATTTTATTCGAGGGAAGTTTAAATAAAATTTTCCTTTCTGCACGCTCCGGACGATATTACATTTGCCCCGTGTAAAAAAGGATATTACTATATTACGTAAATAAACCTAGATAATTCCCCATTTCTCTTTAATAACGCCTCTGCGCGGTAAGTAAAATGAGCATGCCGCTTCAGCTTCTTCTTTTTCTTTTCTTTTTTTTTTAAACGTCGAGCGTTAGAGAAAACATTTTAAGTAAACGCGTCCGTCGATCTCGACACGTTGAAAACGTTACAAATGTACCGATGTTACGCAATCGGCATGTTGAAAGGCAAGAAATGACCGTGCGAGAACCGGGTGAGAAAAATGTTAAAACGTGTCTTTCTCTCTCTCTCTCTCTCTCTCTCTCTCTCTGTCTTTCTCGATACTCTGCGAGGAAGAATCGAAGCGGATTTCGCGGTCTCGTGCGTCGGAGGAACTCGTTATCCGTGACGTGGCGTTCTCCTCGATGGCACGCGTCTCCCTCTCGAACAACGAACGCGTCACGCGCGAAGTCATCGCACTGCTCTCGGATTTTCCTTCGCCTCTTCTTCACTGCCATCTGTTCGGCACTCGTGGCCGTACCAGTCGAGTTTCATTTGCTTAGTGCATGTCTGTATAAAATTCTATCGCAAAGTCTGGATTCTCATGTGTAAGTTCGATATAACACTGAGAAACTATACTCTGTATTAACGGCATAAAATCATACCTTGGATACAATCATCATGATAAACAGAGACTACTCTTGTCGACGACTATAGCATAATTGTGTTTGTAACAAAGGCGAGCGAGAAAATGTTGATAGAAACAAGCTTCTATATTTTATTAAAAATCACTCGAGTGTCTAAAAGTCCATGGAAACCTGTCAAGTACATAAAATCCATAAACTTATAAATGAATCATTTTCTAGCGTTAAGCGATGGAAAACTCTTCTTTATTACTGACTATTTAGATTCTACACGCTTGGCCTCCCTGTTTTGGCTGGTTTGTCCTAGCCAATCATATTCTCCTGGCAACGTTAATCGTCCGGGACGTTTCTCGAAGGTTGAAGATGTCTCGTCATCCGACACGCGCGGGTGGACGACAGTACGTGTGACCTTGACTCGACGAGCTAGTGAAACGACAAACAGTGTCGTTTTTACATTGAAATTGTCAGAATAGAGTGACGAAGAACTATTGTCTGAATCATGACTCAGTACTCGGAAATTAGTTAGATACGTTGTTTCAGCCACTTTTCTGACGCCATACTTCTCGAAGAACACAGAACGCGGTGGCCTGGCGAGCCATATTGCGAGGAGACGAAGAACAGAAACGCGGATAATGCTCGATTCTCTTTCTCGATAGTATCGTGGACGATGGTATCAGCGGTGACTGGATAGAGCTGAACACGTTGACCTGAAAAACCACGGGTCATCGCGTGGAAGGCCGAGGAACTGGCTGGGGGCTGGCTCGCGGAAACCGCCGCGCGTCGAGAAACCTGTCTGCCCGCAAAAATGCGAACGCGTGCAGATAATGCCCGGCGTATTACCGTTATTATGCCAGTCATTTACGTGTTGCACACGCGCATCCCTTCTCTGTCCCGCTAAATCCACCCTGCGGCGAGATTCCGCGTTCGAACGCGTTCGAGCAAACACGCTCCTCGCGGATGCACGAGGATCCCGCATGCGTCGTCAGCAGCTTTGCTCGATCGGCAACGAATCGTTCGACGGACCGTTCAATCGCCGGTTGTGAAAGTGAGAGGGAGAAACAAAATCCCAAGGTGATTATTGATCATAGATCGTACGAGTAAATTGATTTCACGGTGATACATGGACTTTGAGAACTTTGAGAACTTTGCGTGGTCTGCGAGGAAGGAAACAAAGACGAAGGTTGTCGTCGCCCATTGCGTTCGTTGACTCTTATTGTTAATAAATGGCCGCGGACTAATAATTGTAAGACTAACACCGAGAGAACCGAGGGAACTCAGACGGAGAAATGCATCGCGTCGCGAGCTTCTCTCCGGAAACGGCGTTGCAAGCCGGGGCGGGTCGGCACTTGACGTCGTCGTCGCTCTCGGACAAGGGTGGAGAACGGCCGTTTTCTCCGTCGGCCATTTCATCGGCATCGAGTGAAAACGCGTTTGTCGGCGGCGTTTGCGCGGCAGCCGCCTCGAGAGTTAGTCGACGTTAAAACGGAAGTGCGACCGAGTGAAGGAAAGGAGGAGGAGGAGGAGGAGGAGGTTGGAGCAGCCGGATAGGACGGAAACGGGAGAGAGACGGACAAAGCGGGCACGGTTGGAGCGAAGAAGAAATACGCGGACCGTGAAGAGAGACAGGGGAAGAATAAGAGAGAGAGTGAGGGAGGGGGAGAGAGAGAGAGGGAGAGGGATAGGGTCAGAAGAGAGAGAATGTAGGAGGAAGGCGGTAGTCTGAGCGTTCTCCTCCTCTTGGATCCCGGAGGGCGTATAGTAATGTTCGAGTTGGCAGACTCGAGGTCGAGTGGGGATCTCCCTCTCCTCTGTTCCCCTCTCTTGCTCTCTTCCGCTCTCTCTTCCCCTTCCTCTCTTTCTTTCTTTTACCTTTCCACCTGTTATGCGACTCTGTGCCATGCTGCATTGGCACAGGTGTGCGGCCACGTACTCGTTCTTCACGAAACGCACACACCACCTTCGAAGGCTACACCTTCGACCTTCTTTCTTCCTTTTCTCCCAGACCTGCATACGCTACGCTCTCCTTTCTCACTCTCCTTCCTTCCTTCCTTCCTTCCTTCCTTCCTT